AACCCAAAAGGCACCTCACAAAGATACAAATTCTAGAGAGCAGCACGTTAATTTACCGATAAAAATGAGCGCCGACAAATTAATTAATTACTGTTAAAAAGAGGGTTATCGACACGTCTTGGGGCGCAAGAAAAGCCACCTGCTGAGCCCACATGCGCTTGGTTTTTATTTACATATCCACAAAAACCATGAAACACCAGCCCAGCCCCCCCACGAGCAGCATGGTGACGTGGATGCCGTAGATGAGCAGTTCATTCAGGAGGCTGAAGTCGACGCGCCTCCGGCCCAGCAGGAGGAGGATGATGGAGAGTTTGTACTGGAAGCGCAGGAAGATGCGGATGCCGAGGTACTGGAGGCAGAACAGGACCGAGAGTGCCACCCAGAGGATGGAGGTGAAGAGGCTGCAGCTGAAGTACAGCAGGAAGCGGATGAAGCCGTACATCCAGCGGGATTTGAGATAGATGTCGAAGTTGTTGTACTTGGTGCGCACCAGGTGGGTGGTGCGCACGGGGCCGCAGGCCGAGTGCAGGCAGGTCGTGTGGGGGCCGTGGAAGGAGCGGACCCGCCGGGGGATGGGGATCACAGGCATCGGGCACCTCCCCCGGCAGCCAGGCCCCACATATCACACGGGATCCCTCAGCGTGGGACGCCTCTGACGGCCCGGCGAGGAGAGCTCCTGGCTGGATTTCCAGGGAGGGACAGACCTGCGGGGAGGGGGGTTAAATATTGGACACTGAAAAAGCTGATAAATGAGGCACATTCTGTATCAAATGATGCACATTCTGTATCAAATGATGCACATTCTGTATCAAATGATGCACATTCTGTATTAAATCAGGCCCATTCGTTATTAGCATGGATACGTTTTTCCTTTAAGGTTTTAACGCTGAAGATTTCAATATACTAACACTAAGCAGGTAATAAAGAATTAATGCAGAATTATCTCAGGCCAAAGTTATCTGTGCTTCTAATGTGACAAGAACCTTGTATTTTTGCTTGACTTGCTGAGAATTTCTTTGTTTCAAAGGCAGAGAAGGAAAATACAGTCAACAGCCCCAGCTGGAGAGGCCACAGGGCAGAGACTCTACACTTAAAACTGCTTTACAAACCTCAACTTCTTGCCTTAAAACAACTTTGTTTTGCGTCTTCACTTATAGTTTAAAACAAATGCTTTCCTTCTTTACTTATAGTTTAAAACAACTTTGGTTTTGCTTCTTATTGTTTCCCAGAAACACACACAGGAAAACATTGGACCACCCTCTGAGGGACAAGGTGGGACCCCTGGGGTGTCCTGTACAGGGCTAAGGGTTGGACTTGATGATCTTTGTGGGTCCCGACCCAACTCAGTGTATTCCAACTCTGCTTCCAAGTCAGATTCCAGCCTGTTATAAACGTTACCCAGGACAAAGCTTTGGTCTGAAATTCTCCTGCCTAATTCACAGATCCTTCTTAATCAAACAGCCACCCTGCAAGAGTCCAGCCCTGTGAGCAGGGAGATTAATGTGAGAGTACTAATATTAAAGTATGTATTTGCATTTGGATCATATTTCCTTTAAAAGCAAAAAAAAAAAAAAAAGAAAAAAAGAGTTCTCCAAGTACTTTTGCAAGAGAATTCCAGATTTCTGCTCCTTTCCAA